CATAGCGCTGTCCTTGTAAGCTGTGTTTAACATCATAACAGTTTCTGTGGCATTTTTCCTGAGCAGGAAACAAAATTTCACAGCTTCATGCTGTTCTCTTAAATCAGCCATCACAAACAAACAAAACAAAACAAAAAACGAGGTTTGAGCAAAACTGCTTTGACAAAAAAATTCCCTGGGACCAGAGAGAACCATCCCAGATGATGCCACTGGGTGCACTAACTCAAAGCAAGTTGCTCAATGCTTGCCTAGCGGAGAAGAATTCATACAGCTCCACCCAGGGCAATGCCTATTTTGGGGGGTTACCTCCTTGTAGGCTTCCAGATTTTCCCGTGTCTCAAAGGACACTGTGCCCTTCTTGTAGTTTTTCTTAGAACTCTTGGGGCTCTGCTCTTAGCATTGATGGAGAAACCAGGATTTTTTTTTTTTAGTAAATGTTGGCCCCTTACTTTTTTTTAATCTCAGGTAGCTGATTATTCTAAGAGGTACATGCCTTTATGCGATCTATCATTCCCCGTATAGACGTTTCATCTGAAATCTGAGCCATTGGGGAATAGCGGTGAGTTCAGGCCCAGATCGAAATGGTGATTGCCTTGGGGGTTCCACCAGTTTCTAGTCAACCATTACGTCTGGTCCCTTTTAAAATTTTGAGTTTTGTTCCAAAATTTTCTCCCACCCTTCCCAGGACCTTCTGGTGTGATGCTTTCAGAGCTGCTGGTAGTAGTATCCAGGCACCATCTGGTTCCTCTGAGATCAGGGTCATGGATACTGATGGTCCCTTAGTCTGTTGGACTAATTATTTTAATTATTTTAATATGTTTTCAATTTCCAGTACTCTTCTTCCCTCTTGATAGGTGCAGGCTCAATGAATTTAGAAATCTTTAACTTCTACCAAACGACCTTTTCCTGCATGGGTCTGGTAAGAAGGTTGGGGAAGACACAGGTGGGATTCACCTCTAAGTAACTGCAAACAGGATTGCTTGGAGTGCCATTCCATTGTGTATAACATGGGCCCTCTGAGAAGCAGCAGGAGGGATCTCATTACCAGCAAGAGCCAACAGTGGAGTGAGTCCTCTGGACCCTGGCTTTCTCCCATGAAGCGGCTGGTAGTTTTGAACTGCTGACCTAGTGGATCGCAGCTCAACATATAACCATTACGCCACCAAGTAAAACAGCAAATTAATAAAGAGTTCACAATAGGGAGAGACCATATTGCACCTTAGATGGCCACTCGTGGACTTCCCCCCACTCCCACCCCAAACTTTGTATTGTGAATTAGGTGGGGGTTTACATGTCAGGTCATCGTTTTGCATTCAGCAACTTACACAATTTATCAAGCCTCCCAATGACTGGCCCTGTTCCTCTTTTCTCCCATCTGCTGCTTGCAGTCTATTACCTTCCCTTCCCCTTCGCCCAAGTTAACTATCTTCTGAACCTTTCCCTTCCCTCTCGTCCCCTCCCACCCCTGCTAATGGTCAACGTCTGTTGCTTTTGGTAGGAAAGCGTTCATCCTGATTTTAAAATAATAGAGAGAGCCTTTCAATATCTCTTATGAGGATTACGCCTGTCTTAGGTTCAGTCCTGGGTTTTCCCCGAAGCTCGCACTCCTGCCCTTCCTTGTAGACCTTGGCTGGATGCTACCCTGGGCTCCACAGTTTCTGGCCCTCGGCTCAACACATTTTAATACATAACTCATTCTGGGCCAGACACTGTGCTCGGCCTGGACACACAAAGACCTGTTTTACATAAAGATAAGATATTTGTCCTCAACTCACGGACAGAAGGCTAGGAACCACTCAAATCAGCTAGTCATTGATTACAGTATTGTTCCCTGTGGTCAGTGAGGGGAGGTGGAGAATCACATTTTCTACAACTTGCTGTATAATTCTTTGTCTTGCTTTGCAACTTAGATCTTAGTCTGAAGCATTAAAAAATGACCTTATGTTATTACAGTTTGGTTTCTAATTTAAGAAAAAAACAAAAACAAACCCAAACCAACCTTATAAAATCTGTTGAAATGTGGCTTTGACTAAGCAATCCCAGTAGAATTAAAATGTTTACTTTGAGCTAGTAATTTTGGGACCCTTTTTTAACATGTTTTCCTCATAGCTTCAAATTAGCCTTTGAAAAACATCAAGTTGAGTCCTT